GATGGATGACTATGAAGCAGAATTGCTTAACATGCAAAATGCTCAACCTCCTTCTATGGTGTACCACTTTAGCGAAGCCCAAATGGGCCAAATCTATAATGCGATTAATCTTCTCGAACAAAAAATCGAGAAGAAGCTCGATGCTATACTAGAGCAATTAAAACCAGCAAAAAATCTCTGTGTATTCTGCCCCGACGACTACACCCACGTAACTTATACGTGCAAGAATTATTCTGATTCTATTCAAAGGACCAAAAGGCTTGGCGACCTCAAAAGGTGTATAAAATGCCTCAAAGCCGAACATTCAAGTCCTTGCGCGAACAGATGCGCGAAATGTCAGGGACAGCACAATAGAGTTTTGTGTAACTCAATTAAGAGAAAGAAGCATTAATCAGTGTCAGAATAGCCCTTATATACGAAGGATTTATTTTTTTTTTTATTGCTTATGTCGCTTAACAGCGAAGCTTGTATCATTATGCATAGTTTAATTGTTGAATTCAGCTTGTTATATTTTAATTCTTTTCATCCCTCCCAAAAAATCAAACAGTCATCTTAAATCACATGCTTATAAAAGAATGATAGTAATTTCATCAAATTCAGCCGCAACTTGGTCGTTTGGAGTTCAGAATGGAAGTTCATAAAAAATTATCATTGCTCAATAAGATGGATGCAGCGTGTGATCTTCAGCTAGGCACTTATGAAGAAAGAGTAGACTTATTGGACCACTTGGAGAGACATTACCAGCCGCACGTATACGAAAGCAACAACTTGCTCCGCAAGCTTCTAATACCTGTCATGATAGCAGAGTACCACCGCCCAAAGTTGGATCAATGGACCGAAACGCAAAATCTGTTAAAGCACAGAAGAATTCTCGGATACGTCTCAGCCGCTCTATCGTCCTTTTTAGTCGCCGGAATATTCTGGGTAAACAGAATGAATTGAACAGCTTCATGGATCAATCGTTAGGAACAACTGCTACCTCAACCGTATAAAAGTCTCCGTTTTCGCTCCGCTACTCACTCTTCTTACTTTTCTTCTAGCTTGCTGATAAGAAGATTCTTTTATTTTAACTTGCTTGCTTTTTTATTGTTCGCTTGTAAATCGTAATAAATCCTTCAAATATCTCATTCGCCTTCATTTACAATTGCATAACAACTGTGAGAACACACTCATACCNGCATTCAATAGACAACGTTCTCCCAATGTGTAGTTTGACTGTTGATAGTAGCGGTGCATCCGTTTTCTTGCGTTCAATCTTTCTAGTTTGCTTCCCTAGTCATAGATTTGGAAGAAAACTTGGCGCGCGCGATCTACTGACCTGCGCCAAACTCTTCTCAACAGGCATTTTCAACTTTTTTCGTCCGCTCAGCATGTACTTGTTGTATATATTGCTTTTGATAACGATTATCATGCTGTCCTACTGGTCATGTTTCCATGAAAGCTTGGTTACTCAGGCTCTTGAATTTTGTTCTTCTCGCTTCGTCTTCTTGCTGGTGACAGTTGTTGAAGCAATTCTATCGAAAATATCAGACCGGACTCAGCTTTTTCGAGATTCTTGTATTAATCGGTAATGAAACTCGTGTTATCCCTCGTCAGTCTACGTATTCTAAGAATTTTTTTGTTTCTTAGTGCAATAAACTGTAGATCTAAACTGTAAAAAGCCATGCTAATGTTGTTTCTTGAATCAATTCTATACAAGAGCTAACTGGTCTTGTAACTCAGGAACTGATTCTTGACTCATATCGGCGTTATTCTCTCCCCTTTGATGATTTCTGTGAAATTCCTTGTCCATTTTTAATCGTTTCACATGTCGAACTCTTCATTTATTTCTGCTTTTCCTTTTTACAATCCAATCAATATGAT